TCGGAGTGGGTGCTCGTGTCGAGAGCAAAGCGCCGCGGCGGCGTTCGAGGGGTGCTCGTGAGCGACGAGTAAGCATAGGCGTGTCTGGCGGCGGCATTTCTCAACCCAAAAGGGTATGGGGACGGTGCCGTCTCGGTTTACGCCCCGCCAATCGGCTCTTCGAGGAGTGGTGGAGCGGAGCTTGACGACCAGGCATCGCCGCGTGCCACGAGCAAGTTTCCTTTGTCCAAGCTCGGTCTAGATAGGTCCCCGACCGGGGACCACTGTGCCTTAACAACTGGTCGTGGGATATCGGCGGGGGTGGTGTGTTGCCCCGGATTCGCGTGGCGTCGGGTGGCCTTATTCGTCTGCCGTGCTTGGCGAGTCTGGCGAGAACGGCCGCCGGACGCCGCCAGCGCTGAGGCTGCCGGGCGTAATTTCATCGTTGGTTGGTGGGGCTCGAGGAGGAGGAGCACCAAGTCATACTCATGCCCTAGAGACATGAACTCTAGGCTCCCAACCAAACCACAGTATGCGAGGGCGCAATGGTCGTGACGTGGTCCGCCATCCGGAACTCTTTGGGATGACGAAAACCGACACGTGGCGCCCCTACTGGCGCGCCAATCGGTGTTTCGGACCGGGGGGTCCTCAACCAACCAGTGAATTTGTTCTGCGTGCTCCCGATCCGGATGGCGATGCAAAGAGACACAAGGTTTATACTGGTTTAGGCAATCGAGGCCCTACGTCCAGTCTGAGAGATCGATCTTGTATTCCTTGCACCCAGGTGCTCGTAGTAGGGGGTTACAAGCTAAAGGAGAGAAGGAGCTGGTCCTAGGTCTCGGCGGGGTGTCGTGCGGTCCGCTTGAGACGTTGCTCTCAGGCGGCCGGAGTGTGCGTGTGTGTGTGTGTGTGTTCCTAGTCCCCCCCCTAAGTGGCCCAAGTCCTCTCCTTTTATAGTTGAAGGGAGGACAAGGATCGTACATGTATTACTATGCGGCGTCGTGCCAATAGGGGTGGCACGTCCGAGCCCTGTGGCCTGTCCTTGTGGTGGCGTGGTCATCGGAGTGGTCCATCCTTGGAGTACCGAGGCGGCGTGGTCGTCCCATCAGATCCTGTGCGTCGTGGGAGCCCCGGGAATACCTCGGAGTGGACGCGGCGGCGAACGTGCAAGCCACTGTGGACGGACTGTGCGCGAGGCCGAGACTTGGTCGGTGCCGAGGTCGGCATCATGGTGGGGGGTCTCGGCAGCACGAACCCCAAGATCGCCGAGGCCCCGGTGTCTGATCGAGGCCTTGAGCGGGCGGCCGATCATGGGTATGCTGCGTTTGGACACGATGGTCGGTAATCCCGTCGTACCACTGTCCCGGCCGGTATATGGCGCCGATCGTGAACACAATGGTAGGACACGGTGGCCGATAATCCCCGTCGTACCCTATCCCACCGGTATGGCGCGATCGTGAACACAATGGTAGGACACGAGTGGCGGTAATCCCGTCGTGCTCTCCCCGGCGGTATGGGCGCTGATCGCGACCTTGGTCGCGTCGGCCATCCTGTAACGCATTGAGCCACCGTCCGGCTGAGATTGCGGGAGTGGTTGAAGCATTAATGAGACATGACGAGTTGTCGGGAGGGTCGGCCGAGGCGGGGGGCGACAGACCGTGGATGAGCTGGCCTCGAGCGACACGGAGAATGAGGCCTCGAGCGATACGGAGAATGAGGCCTCGCGCGATACGGAGAGTGAGACCGTTGCCGAGGCCTTCCCTAGATAGCCTCGGGCGAGACGGAGACGGCGTCCCCTACCGAGGCTCGGCGCCCCCTGCCGAGGCCTGCCCTGGGGAGCCTCGCGCGAGGCGGAGTTTGTTCCGAGACCTCCTGCTCGAGGCTCGATGCGGGGTGGAGGAGGGCTCGGTCGTGGCAGGTGAGGGACCCACGGCTTACCTTCTAGCTTTGTTTTGATGTTTGCTTGGGGTACCCCGTTCTAAGGTACCCGACACCATTCTTTGCATTCATGCACTTGCATCTTACATCTCATTTAGGTACGCTAGATGTACCACACATGGATGTGAAGCACAGGATGTTGGAGTCAAACCATAAGACGGTGTTGGTGGATAAGTCCCGAAGATTATGTTAGTGGATGGATCCAGAAGATGGAAGGACCCGGGATTTCATGCCTGAACTGGAGATGCTCACCAAGCAAGTGTCATCTAACAAACACTGACATAGTGTTGGATCCCAGACAAGCCCTGGAGCCTTCTAAGTCTCCTACCCTATCTTTTTACAAATACACATAAGTATAACTTTCGTATGCTGCATTAGGTGATAGGAGTGGAATGAAACCGTTGGTGCATAATTCCTACCTTGTCCACTATATATAAATATCTGAACCCTTACTCATATGAGTAGGACGTTCTATGCTTAGCCATGCTTAGACCGGTAGAAGTGGGTGATTTCCTGTCACCTGCAATATAGTTGGATACCTGGTCACGGTTGGTTATATTTGCTATCGTGAAAAATAACCATGTGATGATAAATAAATAGAGACCGAACGGGATCTGGTAATTGAGAGGCAGCAAGACATGGAGGTCTTGTGTGCATGTTTTATTCCGTCTGTGTCGAATAAGGACTGCATCATTGTTGGTCCTCGGTCATTTTGAACACAACCTCTCACTTAGCTGGCCAGATATCTCGTTCCGACCGCGAAGCCGAGTAGCTCAACTCAGGCCGAGCCCTGTTCTGTAAGAGTGTGCACACTAGAGGTAGTAAGGATGTGCGGAGAACCAGATGTGAGCCCAAGGGCAGCTTGGGCCTGACCGTCCTAGCAGCTGGTTGTCCCTGATTGTGCGGCGCTAATCGAATCCGCGACATGTATACCTAAGTTGTACCAAATGTGACCTAATACTAACTTGGCGCAGGTATGTCTGGGTTTGTGTTAGGAATACTGCCCAGCTGGTTGCAATTGATTCGAATCGCCGTCTCTTCTGGATAGTGAGAAACTTGACTGAGCTTCCTTCATTCGTAGTAACACTGGATGGAACATGATGGTTATGATGATTATATGATAATCTGGATATAATTACTAATGATTGCTTTTGCTTAATCGAGTGATTGCTCTAGAATAGATGCAAAGTTAACCATAATAAGCTTCACTAAACTTGATGCTAAAATATTGACTAAAAGATTGAAAGTAAGGACCCATAATAGTAATGCTCTTTTTTAAAGTTATGCTATCCAACCAGCTCCATAAAATAAGCCTTGTATATCTTTGAGAGTCTTTTTATTTCTCTCCTGTCGGGTAAGTCTTGTTGAGTACATTCGAATACTCATGATTTATCCCACCATGTTGCAGGTGAAGTTCTTGGCCTGCTGAAGATGGTGGCTAACCGCCGGTGGGCTCAGCGACTCTATGTTTATTTCTCGTCTATATGCTATTGTTGGAGGATGTTACTTATGTTAGCAGTATATTTGAAACTTATGTTATTGTAATCATTTTAAAGTTATGTTGTTTTAGCCATCGTATTTGTAAACTTGGCAACATATTATTATTTGTGAACTCAATTATAATATTATTCCGCTGCAACTCCGTGTATGTAATGTGTATTTGCTTAATCGCGCGAGCTTGGTTGTGTTGTTGATTTACCGAGGTTCTTCGTGACACTCAGCGGACTACCGGGTTTATATAAATGCAAGTATATGCGTACCAACGTGTTAAGCGGGGCAGCCGTGCTTGAGTTTGTATAAATTGAACGGTTCTCTCGCAATTAAGACTCACAGATATTAATCGCGTACGTCTCAAAAATATATTAATCGCGTGGAACACTAATCATGCAGAAACGTCGTTGTCGGCACGGTCCTCGGCCCGACTGGTCGCGTGTATGGGCCTTGCTGCCTCGTTGACTTCAGCCAGCGAAAGGGCTTAACGATGCAGGCGCTATTGGCCATTCATCGTGACCATGGCGACCCGATGAAGGCAGCCCAGGGGCCAGGGCCCAGGCGCTGAACATCCTTTGCAGGCCATGAGTACGTCCGACCTATTTTGTCCATTTTAGCTCTAATCCGTGATTTGATTTTTCTTACCAAACTTCAAAATTAGGTATATTACCTCTAAAATAAAGTTTCAAAACTGTTCAAATTACCTCTCTATCCTAAATTGAAGTGGTTTTGAGGTGGTTTCATCACTCTTATTAGTTAATAAAAATCTGATAAATACGTGATAAAATTTTTAAACCATGAAAAATGTTCCAAAGTTTCTAAATTTTTTAAGAAAATTCTAGGGATATACCAGGATATGAAAAATACAAATAAAAAATTGAGAATTCGTGAAAGTATTTCTAGAAACTTTTAAAAATAGATTAAGCTCTAGAAGTAAAAAAAATTATCCAGATAATCTTTGAAAAAAATTAAAATATTATAGTTAATGTTGAAACATGTTTTTAAAAAATTTCCATGGTAAAAAACTGTATAAGATGCAACTAGTATGAATGCAACGTAAATAGTGAGCAATGTAGATATGGACATACATATTTTGTGTTGTCTTTCAATCTTTCTACGATACAACATTGACCACCGCAGAAATGTACAATCTGAAAATATATGGTTTGATTTCCTTCGGTGGGCGCGCATTCACGCTGCCAGCATCAAACACGTAACAAGAGCATCCGGTCGCTTACTCCAATCCTTTCGGCCTCCTCTCCTCTGAACTCTGGTGTCTGGTCTAAAGAAGGCTGATATGTTTCCCACCACTTTCACGACCACAAACGCGCGTGCTTCTTTCGCGTTGGAGTAGCAAAGATCTCCAAATTAGTCCCAACTCCCAAACAAAAGACAAACCCACACACACAAAAAAAAACAGAGAAAGGAAAGAATCTGAACGAGGAACATACCAGATGTCCCGAGCCGGAGAGCCGGGGTAAACCCAAGCAGCTGCGACCTTGTCCTGTGATCGACCACGTGAGAACGTGACGGCCGTGAGGTGCAAGTAAAGGGTCGGTTGTCCTTCGCCACAAACCTCACCCTCGCGCGCCATGGTGGTGCCGGTCCTCCTCATCGCCGCCGTCGTCTCCCTCGCCGCGGCGCCCGCGGTTGCCGATGAGGCCGTGCACTGCGACCCCAGCGCGTGCCAGAAGTCCTCCTTCCGCTGCGGCGGCACCGTCGACGTGCGGTACCCGTTCTTCCTCGCCAACGCCACCTACGCCGTCGTCGAAGGCGACACGGCCTACGCCAGGTCCTAAGGTACCCCGGCATGGCGATCGCCTGCGAGGGCGGCCGCGCCACGCTGAAGCTCCGGGGGTAACAACTACACCGTGCTGGGCATCGACTACGTCAACCACACCGTGACGGTCGCCGACGGCGACGTGCTCGCCAGCGGTGGCGCCGGCGCGGACTGTCCGCGGGTGGCGCACAACGTCACCGTGCCGCCGGAGACGTGGCTCAACCTGTCGGACACCGCCAACGACAACCTCGTCTTCTTCTTCGACTGCGTCTTCAGCGAGGGCATCACCCCTCAGCCGCCGCCGGCCATCCCGCCCATCAACTGCAGCAGCTTTCGGAGCCCAAGTGGAGCGAAGTCTTTCGTGGTGGAGCTCCTGGCGCGCGTGCAAGGCGGCCGTCGTCGCGCCGGTGCTGAAGCGGCTCCTGAGCCCTGATGAAGATTACTTCTTGCGTCTGAACAGCGACGGGTACGGGCAGCTGCTGAAGCAGGGGTTCCAGCTGACGTGGGACCCCAGCGTGGCCCGTTCGTTGGTCTGAAACTTGGCTGAAATTGGCTGAAAAACACTGTTCTGGCTGAAATATTGTGGGAAAAAAAACACTGTTTCGGTTGAAAAAAGAAACCAAACAAGCCAAGTTTCAGACCAGCCGAATGGCCCCGCGAGAAGTCCAACGGGCAGTGCAGCTACAACCAGGCCGGCGAGTTCATCGGCTGCCTCTGCTCCGACGGCCGCGTGCGCAGCCCAGACTGCGGTAAGCAAGTTTCCCGTTCTTCCCTTTTCAGTGTTACTAGTAACCTCACACTTCTCACATATTGCTTGGTGGAGACGTGACCGGAAAATCCAGACTTCATACAATTAGCAGTAGAACATAGTTTCCGGACTGCACACTGCACTACTGCAGAGCAGAGCTCTTGTTTCGTCTGCGTCGATCTGTCCTCTCTTTCTTCTGGTTCTGGTGCTGGCCGCATGCAGTGGTTTCTGATCCTTTTAGGAGCGCAGCCGCAACCATGCGGCGAAGTTGACCCCTAGTCGCAGCTGGTGGGCAGCAAGCCAAACAACCGATCCGTCCCGTTGTTCATGAGATCGACAGGACACGATGGAAACCGTGGTGGCCGTCGCCAATCCTGACCTAGCGCGGTGTGCCACGCGAGAGAAGCGATTCCCGTGTGTGGATGCAAGGGAAATGCTCATCTTGTACGTCAACCATCCGTAAGAGGCGCAGCCTCAAGTCTTTGACCTTGTCCTCGCACTGCCGAGAGTCTCTTTTCCTTGGAGCCGTGCCGTCGAGGACAGAAGAAACAGCCCGAATCACTGATTGTACGTCCCTATGCTAGCACCATGCTCTGTTCTCTCAACTGTTCTCAGCCATCCTATCTTGACCTGTGCCAACGGGCCATGAACATTGCAAGGACCAAGAAACCACCAGCTTAAGTAGCAGCACCCGCTGTCTACCACCTCTGACTGAGCATCCGTGTATCTTTGCTCCCGGCGGCATCCGCTGCTCCCCTTTGCAATGCAATGGCTCATTCAGAGCAAATGCACTGCCTGAATTCAGCACTACCACCACTCCTCATCGCCCTACTCCTCACATTACTGCCCCAATGCCAGCCACAACCCGACGACGACGCCTACTTCCGGTACAGCAACTGCACCCCGACGCCGTACAGCTGCGGTTCAGTCCAGTTCGACGTCGGCTACCCGCTGTCGGTGCCAGGCGCCGACGACCGGCCGGACTACTGCTCGTTCCCCGGGTACCGCCTCTCCTGCACGAACGGCAGCAAGCTGCTGATCACCATGAACGCTCCCGCCGGCGCCTGGACGTTCCAGGTGACCGGCGTGGACTACGAAAACCGCCTCCTCACGCAGACGCACCACTTCACATACGAGGAGCTGGAGGAGGCAACTGACAGCTTCAGTGGCACCATGGAGATCGGCGATGGCGGCTTCGGCACCGTGTATAAAGGTACACATCACACTGAATGAAAACACTATTAGCTAGGCCAATCGTTTACCTTTCAGTTTGTTGATTGACATGAAATTTTACGTTGGATTGGGTGGATTTGATGCGTAAATCGTCAGGGCATCTACGAGATGGGCGCGTGGTGGCCGTGAAGCGCCTGTACAACAACAGCTGCCGGCGCGTGGAGCAGTTCCTGAACGAGCCCCGGCCATCCTCTCCCGCCTGCGGCACCCGAACCTGGTGCTGTTCTACGGCTGCACCTCCAGCCGCAGCCGCGAGCTCCTGCTGGTGTACGAGTTCGTGCCCAACGGCACGGTGGCGGACCACCTGCACGGCCACCGTGCCGCGGAGCGGCGCTCACCTGGCCACTCCGCCTTAGCGTCGCCGTCGAGGCGGCCGCGGCGCTCGCGTACCTGCACGCCGTCGAGCCGCCCGTCGTGCACCGCGACGTCAAGACCAACAACATCCTCCTCGACGCCAACTTCCACGTCAAGGTCGCCGACTTCGGGCTGTCCCGCCTCTTCCCGCTCGACGTCACGCACGTCTCAACTGCCCCGCAGGGCACCCCGGGGTAAATGCAGCCCTGAACTGCATGCAGTTCACGATATTGACAGCAAGATCGAAGCTCGTGTTTCTTTGTTATTTACCCTCGTGGTAATGGTGGCATGTGTAGGTACGTGGATCCAGAGTACCACCAGTGCTACCAGCTGACGGACAGGAGCGATGTGTACAGCTTCGGCGTCGTGCTCGTGGAGCTCATCTCGTCCAAGCCCGCCGTGGACGTGACCCGCGACCGCAGCGAGATCAACCTGGCCGGCATGGCTGTAACTGAACCGTTCAATTTATACCAGATTAAGTATGGCTGTTCCCGCTAATATGTTGACACACACATACCTTCACTTATATAAATCCGGTAGTCCGCCGAGTGTCCCGAAAGACCTCGGTAAATCAACATCACAACCAAGATCGCGTGATTAAACAAATACACATCACATACACAGGGTTGCAGCGAAAATAATATTACAAATGGGTTCACAATTAAAAGTACAAGTTTGGGTTTCAAAATCGATTAGTGAAAACAACGTAACTTTCAAAAGATTACATTAATATATGTTCTAAATACATTGCTAGCATAAGTGACATCATCCGACAAAAGCATATAGATGAGAAGTAACTATAGAATCACCGAGCCACCGGCGGTTAGCCACCATCTTCACAGGCCGAGAACTTCACCTGCAACATGGTGGGATAAACCCTGAGTACGAGAAGTTACTCAGCCAGACTTACCCGTCGGAAACCAAAACAAATGACACCAAGGGTCATGCAAGGCTTATGAGGTGGGCTAGCTTGACACAGTTGCATAAAAGAGCTTATGAATATAGTGACCAATTTAAACTTAGCATCAAGCTTATCATCATTTACCTATCCACTAGATTAGCACCTGTACTAGAGCACTCACTTATTAGGAGCAATCAATATTAACCATAGCAGGTATAATAAGGCTGTCATCATCATATCAGGAGGTGACAGGAAATCACTATATCTCGTAGGTGACAGGAAATCACCTGACTTCTACCGTGTTTAAGCAGGGCTAAGCACTACACGAGCCTGAGCTACATAGGATTCAGGGTATCAATATCTGGACAAGGATTGGATAACCAATGCAACAAGTGTTTGCATCCAACACCTAAACTTAATGCAACAATATATATATGCTTAGGGGCTTGCCTGGGATCCGACACAAGTCAGTTCAGTTAGCTTCCACCGTCCTGATGACATCTTAAAAGGTCCTTGTTGGTTTTGGTAATTGAGTGACAACCTAGGTGGACTAATTGTGTTTATGTGAGATACACAGGTGATTAGTCCACAGGTACATATGTATGAGCAACATATGCCATGAAGGTGAAAATGGCTTGGAGATGTTGCAAAGCTCACACATGTGATGATGAAGGAGCTTAAATGCACATGAGACATGACATTGAGTCATGTGATCAAGGTGGAGAAGATCAAGACAAGACTTGGCTTGATGGACCGGTTGCAAGCGTGAAGGGCAAGTCGAAGGCTTTGGAGTGATGGACCGCGTGGCGGTGAAGCTTGAGCAAGACTTGGCGCCGATGGACGATGGCAATGATGAAGAGCAAGTAGAGTCAAGATCGATGAACCAATATGATCATGTGATGATATGAAGTGGATCATATCATTGTTGATCGTGTTGGTGCATGTGTTGCATCGACATTGGAGGAGATGGAATGGAATGCGCAAGGCAAAGGTATAACCTAGGGCATTTCATTTCACCGGTCATAGGTGTGTAGAGAAGTTTATGACCAGGTTTAGGATAGATGGCCGTACTATCAAGAGGGGCAAACTTGTTTGCATATCGGTCATCTAGTGCCACTCGAGTGATCTAACTTTGCATTGTCGCTAGGATCGAGTGGCGTGGCAAGTTGAGTGGCTAATATCCTTTGGAAAATGATTGTGAAAATGCTAACACACATACACATGGTGGTGCACACTTGGTGGTGTTGGCACATTTACAAAGGTGGTGTTGGCACATTTACAAAGGAGGTGGTGTTTACAGATGGTGCTTTCGGGAAAATAGAATGCCTATTTTCTATTGCGCCGGATGCAAATTCTTGTGGTTGGCACATTGGAGCAAGGGTGAAGAAGTTAGAAATGAAAACGAGTTGATCGCGAAGATGCTGGCGTCGGTCCACTGACCGGACGCTTTGGTCATCTGCAAACCGACGGACGCCGAAAAGGCTGCGTCCGGTCAAACCGACGATGCTTTCTGCATCGAGGTATTGCACCGGACGCCGGTCTGCGGCCGATCAAGGTGGACGGACGCGTCCGGTCGAGAAAAATATGCCTCGGGAGCTTATCGAAACGACCAAACGCCGGGGCTTCAGCCGTCCGGTCGGTTTACATCTAACGTCCGGTCAGTCAAGTGACCGTTGGGATCGGGACGCGTGGTCGTCAGGGACGACCGGACGCCGAGGTCCGGCGTCCGGTCAACACGACCGAGCGTCCGGTCGGCCCGACCGTTGCCAGTGAAGGGTAGCGGCTAGTTTAGCCCTTGGGGCTATAAATAGAAGTGGCCCTCGGCCATGGCTGGTGCTTGAGCACCTCAAGGGACTTAGTGTCCATGCTTGTGAGTGCTTGGGAGCCCTCCATCACACACATACTTGATAGTGATCATCCGATTGTGTGAGTGAGCGATTCTAGTGCGATTGCATCGTGAGGTTGCATCGAGTGGCACTAGGTGATCGAGTTGCGAGCGGTGGTGCTTGTTACTCGTGGAGGTTGCCACCTCCTAGACGGCTTGGTGGTGGTCTCCGTCGAGCCGCAAGAAGCTTGTCGCGGCGCTCCCGAGAAGTGCTTGTGAGGGTACTTGTGCTCGCCCATGAGTCGCGAAGAGCAACTTTAGTAAAGCGTGTCATTGAGCTACCCTCACTCGAGGGGTAGGTTCTTCTTGGCG